AGAAAGGCAAGTAAGTTCATTATGTTCTGGTAATTAGGATGCTTTTATTTTCTCCCACGAACAATCATAGATTGTGAAGAAAGGAAATAATGTTCTGAAAATTAAGAAGCAGCTTGCTTATAAATGAATGAAAAGGGGGAAAAAAACAAAAGTAAGAATTGGCTTTATAGCTAATTAGATGTTGATCTTAAACATCGGTGAAACCTTTTAAGTCATGCTTCTAGGACAGTGGTTCTCAACCTGTGGGTCGGGACCCCATTTGGGGTCAATCGACCATTTCATGGGGGTCACCAAGCAAGGCTGTCCGCCATTTTTTTTGTCTGCCATTTTTTTCCCCTTTTCCGGTGGGTGCCTTACCTCCCTTGGGCTGGGCCAGCTGGTGGTCGGCCTGCTCCGTCTCTGCCGCTTGCCAGCTACGCCTCGGCTGGCGCAGGGGGCGGAACCACGCATGTGTGGCGCTCCCGGGCAGGGAAAGCCCTCGACTTACGACCGGTTGGGTAGTCCTCGACTTACGACCGGTTGGGTAGTCCTCGACTTACGACCGGTTTAGTCCTCGACTTACGACCGGTTGCGGTCGCGGCATTAAAAAGGTTGAGAACCACTGGTCTAGGATAAGACAGCACACTGAAGATATGTCTTGTATCTGTAATGTAAACCTGAAGGTATAACATTATTTCTACATTTATCATAATTTTAAAAAAACAAATTCAGCTTGGAGATAAAAACCTCCTGTCAACATTAGTCATAAATACAGTAGGCATGTAGTTAATGTGTCTTCCTTATGAAGAGTGCCTTTGTTTTCAAGTTACGTGAAGCTGTCATATTTAGTTGTAAAAGTGTGAATGCACCCAGTATGACTCAGGTTTGCAATATGGCATCCCTAAGCAGTAGCCAGAAAATTGTAGTAAAAATAAACAAACAAACAAAAATTGAAAAAAGAAAGGAATAAAAAAAGAAAAAAAAAGTAAAATAATTGCCTTCTACCATTCTCTTTAGTGAGTAATTATCCTCTTAATGATTTTGCTATCTTCTTTGTGCCTTTGGAATTCTCAAATCCTAGAATCATTAGTTCAGTCCTTTCAGCAAAAAGTCCATATAAGCTTTCAATCTTTCAAAAAGGTTTTCTGTCAGGTTTTTTTTTTCTTTGAGCAAGCTGCAGATTCAGTTAATTTTATAATCCAATCTTTCACTCATTGTATTTAATTGCTTTTCCAACTTTTTGAATACAATAATCTCCCCATGGTTATAATATAAATGTCAATTTCCTATTTTTTTTTCTAATTCTATATCAATAAGACCCAACGGGAATAATTCTAGCTTTATTGTAATGTTGAGCTGCAGTATATTTTTTATTGTTGTATGGATTTGCACCCAACATAGTTCTGCGTTTTTTAGTATTTAGCATTTCTTTTGTCACACAAAATTATGCGGTATAGTTAGTCCCCACTTAACGTTCACTTATTCAATAATTGTTCAACAGTGTTAAACCAGAGGATTTATGACACTGTAATCATCACGGTGTCCTTGCGATCACATAATTGCAATCAGGTGCTTGAGGGTGAAGATTCATTCTCTGAGCTTGTGGGTTGGTTTCCGAACGTTTCGTTACCAAGCTAGGTAACATCTTCCAGTGGAGTTTAGGGGATGTCAGTGTCAGTGTTCTTCTGTTTATAAGAGCTTTGTGTGGTCAGTAGTTCTTGTGATGGGTCAGGTGTGTGTGTGTGAAGTGAGGGTCTTGTGATGGGTCAAGTGTGAGTCTTGTGATAGGGAGTTTACATCAGGTGAGGGTTATTGGGAGGTGAAGTGCTGGTGGGGGGGCTGGCATGGGTTGGTTGAGGGTCGGTGCCGTCTCTGGTTCTCTGCGCAGTTGATTTGGATTCTGAGGGGTTCATAGGCTGGTTATAGGTCATTGTGTCTGTTGATGGAATTGCTTGTGGAGTGCCAGGCTTCGATGAACTCACAAGCGTGGCTAGTGGTAGCGTGGCCAATGATTTTGGTGTTTCTCCAATGGAACTGGTGCTGCTGGTGTCGGTGTGGGTAGAGATTAAGGATTTGGGATGGTGACGTTTGACTGCCAGCTGGTGTTCGTGGATCTTGGTTTTAATTGATGTGATGTTTGTCCTATGTAGAATTGGTTGCAATTGTTACAGATAATTTTGTAATTACATTGTTTCTTTCATCCTTGTGTATCTTGTCTTTGGTTCTGGATAATTCTGGCGGAGTATGGCTGTGGTTTGTGGGCTATTGCTTTTCCTAAAGGTTGAAGAATTTTGGCTGTCATTTCTGACACCTCTTTTTGTGTATGGTAGGGTTAGTTTTTCCGTGGTGGTTGGCTGTGGGCGTGTTGTGGTTTGGATGCTGTATGTCAGAATATGAAATTTTTTGGATAGCTGTTATGGAGAAGGATGTCAAGCAGCCATTTCTCTTCCACTTTTTGTAGTGTTGTGGTACTGCAGTGTTTTCTGGACCTTCTAAAGAGGGTCTGGACACAGCCTTTTTTATGTGCAGTGGGGTGGTTGCTTGCAAAGCTGAGGATCTGGTCTGTGTTTGTGGATTTGCGATAGATGGTGGGTTTCCAGTTCTCCACTGTCCAGGCTTGTTATGTCGATGTTGAGGAATGGGAGTCTGTTGTCTGTTTCCTCTTTGCATGTGAATTTGATCCCAGGGAATATGTTTTTGAGTAGGTGGTGTGGTTTCTTCAATTTGGGAGCATTTGGTGATGTCAAAGGGGTCATTGACATAGAGTTTCCAGAATTTTGGTTCAATGGTGAGTAGAGCTATGGATCTGAGTCGTTGCATGACTGCTTCTGCTATTAGGCCTGATATGAGTGATGTGATTCCATTGGGGTACCTTGTACTTGCTTATAGATTTTCCCTTTGAACTTGTAGTATATGTTGAGGCATAGATCCAGAAGTTTCATGATGGTCTCAGTGGACATAGAGTGTTCTGTGATGGCATTATCTTTGTGGGTATGGTGTTTAGCAAGTAGGTGGTGTATGGTTTGTTTAGCCAGGTCGATGTCAATCGAGGTGAAGAGAGCAGTGACATTGAAGGAGACCATGATTTCTTCCTTGTTAATCTTGGTGTGCTTTGGAGAAATTGTTCTGGGGAGTTTATTGAGTGGGTTGAGTCATTGACCAGGTGTCTGAGTTTCCTCTGCAGAGTTTTTGCTAGTTTGTACATCAGTGTTCCAGGTAGAGACAGAATTGGACATAAGGGGGAATCCCATTCTTGTGTATTTTGGGACTGTAGAACCTGGGTGTGGAGGAATCTTGTGGTTGCATGTGCTTTCTCTCTAGTGGTGTTAGCTGTTTTTCTTTTTCCATTTTTCTTAGGGTGTCTTTTATTTTGTTCTTTAGCTGTTCTGTCGGATCATTGTGGATTATTTGGTAGGCGTTGGTGTCATTTAGACGGTTTTCGGCTTTACGGATGTAGTCAGTTTTGTCCATTACTACTGACAGTCTGCCTTTGTCTGCCAGTAGGATGATGATGCTTTCATCTTGTTTCAATGTCTTTAGTGCTCTCTTCTCCTTTTGGCTAAGTGTTTCATTTTGTCTGTTGCGTTGGATGCTGGAGATGATTCTTTGTCTGCTGTCTTCTTGTGTTTCTTGGTCGTGTGGCGCGTTTTTAGAATGGATTCGAGATTGGCGAGGAATTCGATGGGGTCAGCATCTTTGTGGTTGAAACTGAGGCGGTGTGTGAAGACGGTCTTTTCGTCATCAGAGGTCTGCTGGATAAATTTCTGATCCATAGTTCTGAGTTGTCTTGTGGTTTTAGGGTGATGGTTTCAGGTGCTTGTTTATGCCTCACAGTTATGACATTGTAATGCCCCACAATTATGTAATTGCCGTTTGCAACCTTCGGTGCTGGCTTTCGACAAACAAAGCCAGTGAGATAGACAGCAGAAGGTTGCAAAAGGTGATCACCTGATGATGGGACACTGTGAACATGCAAGATTCACTTAAGAACGACAACTGGGACTGCTGAAATTGCCATTGTAAGTCAGCAATCCCCTGCCATTGTGCTTTGTGACCACATTGCATAGTCACGGAGTACTCAGTCCCAATTACTTTTGGTAAGTGAAGCCTACCTGGAAAGCTAGCTAACCTTGAATAAGTATTTGGGGCTCTGGGTGATCTAGTCCACTGTTGTTCATTCTACTAGCCATAAACTGAGAAAAACAACTGGTTAAACATTACGGGGCAAGCTTTAGTTTAAACTCTGTATTAAAATATAATGTTCTATCTGCATTCTCGTCTCTTATTATTAGACCCTGGATTTGAAATGTTTGTGAAGGCAGAAAAAGCTCATGGGAATTGGATTCAATACTATTTGGAGGGCAGTAGTACACAAGTTGTCATGAATTTGAGCAAAAAAATCATAAAACAGTATTTGGAAGCTCTCAAGATCCTGAGCTCGTCTTTAAGCAAGCAAGTGGCCCAGTATGATGTCTATTCAATGATAACAGGAACGATGATTATTCTGGAGGTATGGACTGATTTTTAAAAAATTATTATTTATTGGTCTTAAAAGCCACTCAACTCTCAACATCTCTAAGAGGCCTCTGTTGCCCAAACTAGGAAAAAGTAAAATGAAAGAAAAGAACCCAGCATCTCAAAAGAAAACTAACATGATTGCCAGCCACCATAACCCTAGGCCCGAAAGCAGAGCCAGTTTTTCGGAGGTTTGCAGAACAGTTGGAGGATGGCAATTGTATGGATCTCTTGTGGGGATACAAAGCCTTACTTTGTAAAGCAGCATATTAAACCTGTTACTTTATTTGCACAGTTTCACGGTATTTACATTCCGAGCCAAATTCAACTTGACACAAGGCTCTCTGATTAGATTTAGATTTGGACATTTTATCCAGATTCCCAGTAGTTGTTGTTGTAGATATTTTATGTCTGTGTGATATAAGTTATTCTATGCAACAAAAGGCATGGTAAAGAATAGAAGTTATCGGATGGTCTTGTGATTGTTACTTTTACAGTAACTGGTCTCATCTCTCCTTTTTATCTTCATTTATCTCCTTTTTTCCTCCCTTCTTGAGTTAATTCCCCCTCTTACTTAATTGAACTACCTACATAGAAACAAGTATACATTGTACTTACAGTTCAAACAGTACCAGGTTTCACAAGGAGTTAGAGAAAAGACATTATTCTATATAATCATACAGAGAGAGAGGGAGGCGGAGAGGGAGGCAGGGAGGGAGGCAGGGAGAGAGAGAGAGAGAGAGAGAGAGAGAGACAGACAGACAGACCGAGCGCAACAGGGACCACAAAAAAGGCAAGGTTCAGTATCCAGAACTTCACAAACACCAAAGGACAAGGTAGTAGCTGCCATAATTGACCTGTCCATGTAGATGAAGGTATAATTGACATTAGCTTCCATCTAGACATTTCCAGTGTAGTGAAAGGTAATCTGCTCCTCCCCCCCGTACACATGTACGTCTGCGTCCACTGCCATACCAAAGTCACATACAAGTAGTTCTCAACTTAAAACAGTTCATTTAGGGACCGTTCCAAGTTACAAAAGCATGGGGGGGAAAGTGACGTATGACCATTTTTCATACTTAACAAATGTTGCAGCATCCTCGTGGTCATGTGATCAAAATTCAAGACACTTCGCAACAGTGTCCTGCTTCGTATTTGTGACGATTGCAGTGTCCTGGTGTCATGTGATCACCTTTTGTGATCTTCTGACAAGCAAAGTCAATGTGGAAGCCAGATTCACTTAACCATGTAACTAACTTGACAAGTGCAGTAATTTACTTAATAACTGTGGCAAGAAAGGTCATAAAACGGGGTAAAATCCACTTAATTGTCTCAGCAGCAGAAATCTTGGGCTCAATTATGGTTTTAAGATGAGGACTACCTGTATTTGCTTGTAATTTAGTTGCAAGATACTATAGAGCAGTGGTGGTGAACCTATGTCATGCGTGCCAGAGGGGGCACTCAGAGCTGTCTCTGTGGGCACGCATGCCGTCACCCCAACCCCGCCTCCCCCCATGGCCCCCTCCTCACCAGCAGTCCCCCGGAGCAGAGTCACCCCCAGGTGCAGCCCGTGCAAAGCAGCGCAGCCAAGGACATGGCAGCCGGGCAGCAGGGACAAGACTCCGCCCTCGCGCCCTATCGCATGCAGATGATGCGGGGCACGGGTGGAGAGTGTGGTCGCCATGGTGCTGCTGGACTGCCTGGGCGATCGGCGGGCTGTGGAGGCGGTGGGTGGTCCTTTGGGAGCAGGGTGGGGGGCAGAGCGGGGGTGTTTTTTGGGCACGGTCTCTAAAAAGTTCGCCATCACTGCTATAGAGGAATGTATAAAGCTTAACAATATACAGTGTTACATGTGAATAGATCCGTTTGATTTGCTGGATGGTTAGGGAAATGACAGGTATGCTGCACCCCACCTGCAATATGTGATAGTGTGTAATCTCTGCCCCTTGTTGAGTTGTAGACTAGATTTTGACTGTGTTTCCTCTTTTTCTCCTGACATAGGTGCTGTTCTTGCTCTTATTGAGCCTTCCAAAAGCCCTGAGCAGCAGAGCTGAATTTGAGATGCCTCACTCTTCCTTGTGTTCTCTGATGTTCTACTTGATGTGCCTAATATGGAGTGCCATTCATGTAGTTGTGTGCACCTCCACAGAAAGCTTATGCTATTTTTGCAGCATTCCCTGGCTTATAGCAGCTGGAATTATCATGCTGGCTTCGGGGCTTTTTTGGGTCATAATTTCTCTTCTGGAAGCACGGGTGATAAATTCAAGACAACCATTGAAGGTAAAAATACTGGAATGTATTATAATTTCTTACCAGTTGCACATCTCTTTTTCCAGGGAGGATCAAGAGCCGTGGTGGACAGTGGTTAGAATGCAGTATTGCAGGCTAACTCACTCTCACTGCCAGGAGTTCAGTCCTGACCAGCTCAAGGTTGACTCAGCCTTCTGTCCTTCCGAAGTCAGTAAAATGAAGACCCAGATTGTTCAGGGCAATAGGCTGGCATTGTAAACCACTTAGAGAGGGCTGTAAAGCACTATGAAGCGGTATATAGGTCTAAGTGCTATTGCTAAGTGATATTTGCTATCTACACGCTGTTCCTTTTTCCTTGTGCCATTTTTATTTCTTTCAGTCACAATGTCTTTTTCATTTTCCCTTATGCCTTTATAGAGGAGAAAACACAGGTACCCATATCTTTTCTCTCAAAAAGTAGCTGGAGACAATTTGAACAAAGAAATAGGGCAAGGTCTACGTTATTTTTTTTTTCCTGCTTCCCATGTTTTCAGCTTCAGATTGCAATATAAATAGTTTTAGTGCCTGTAAACAGTCCAGATCAATCTGTTGCAGAATCATAAGTAGTTTGACTTCTCTCTAAATTGTGGGACAAATGCTAGCAATTAGACCATTAATATTGAGCCATACAATCTAATGTAGTTACCTTTTTCCTTAAAAAATATTTGTGTACATAATCCTTGTGTTCTGTGACCTCATCAGTCAATTTGCAGTTCTGGATAGTAGGCATTCTTTCTAAGTGGTGAAAAGTTAATTGCTGTTTATACATTCAAGATAAAAACAGCCAGGGCTTCCTCTACAGTTCTTTTATAAATCTGAGCTGAATTATACATTGATTCCTCTATAATCTATGACCGTTCATGTTTATTAATTAACGTATAATAGAATACCTGCATATTATGTATAAAATGTCAACCCCACTTACAGCCTCAATAATATAACTGTTTTAGTAATCATCAAGGAGAGATCTCCTCAGCCATCTTGCAGAGGTGATTGGCAGGTTGCTACAAAAACAAGGAAAGCCAAGTGTGTTCAATTGATTACATTGATTTTGAACTGTTTCTGTACTTCTTGATTTTCCTATCAGGGCAGACTATACAACGTAGTATATTAGAACAGAACTTCTGAAATCAATTGTGCATGAATTCCCGACTAAATTTCTCTTATTTTAATGAGTTGCTTCATTTAATGGGCTTGCTGTTAATATGATTTGTGGGAATCCAATCTCAGTAATGTTGCAAACATTTATTTTGGAATTCCCTATAATGACTGTATGTCTCAGAACGGTTGGCCTCTTTGAAGAAGGTGGCAAAATAATCTTGAAGATAGAATTATTATGTTGTTGGATAAGTAAAATGTCATACCAAGTTGTTTCTGTGAAAGCATAGGTTTCAGTAAGGATTCAAAGGTGAGTTAAGTTCTAACATTACTCCCATTATTTGAGTAAGGTCTTAGTCTTAAGATCTAATGTGAAGGCTTGTTTAGAAAGCAGGCTTGTATCCATTTTGTAATTCACTCATTCTTTTCCAGTATGTTCTATATCAGTGATGGCGAACCTTTTAGAGATCAAGTGCCCCAAAACCGGCTTGCCCCCTGGCCCGCCCCCGCTCTGCCCCCCGCTCCACCCGCCTACAGGGCCACTCACCACAGGCAGCCTTGGAGCGCCATGGTGGCCACATCCTTTGCCCGCACTCCACAACATTATCTGCTCGTGATGGGGCGCAAGGGCGGAGTCTTGCCCCTGCTGCCCGGCTGCCATGTGCTTGGCTGTGTGGGCCGCGCCTCCGGACAGGCTGCTGGTGAGGGGGTTGCAGTGGGAGGCAGGGCTGGGGCTCCGAATGCCACCTCTGGCACGCATGCCATAGGTTCGCCACCAATGTTCTATATTCTTCGTTGGCATTCTGGTGTGCGGCAGTGATTGTTGAGGCATAGTTTGTTAAAGTAAGAACATCAAAAGGACCATTCTGAATGACACAAAACATTCATCCAGTCTAGCATATAGGAAAGCCCTTGTGTACATGTAGTCCTTGACTTGCAACAGTTCATTTAGTGATCATTCAAGGTTACAATGGCACT